TACCCTAACCCTTACCCTAACCCTTACCTTAACCGTAATTGCGCTTCTGTCAGCGCTCTTTTGTCGCCGCGCCTTTGTGGGTGCGCTGTCAATGTCGCGGTTTTATCGCCGCGGTTTTGTCGGCGCGCTGTTGTCGGGCGCGCATTTGTCGGGTCACGAATAAGAATTGCCCAAAGCCCTTTTTTTCTTCTTTTAACTATAATAACAAGAAGGAAAAGTTAATGCATACTTTTGGTGATTATTAACTAGAAATGTCAATATCTTTTAGATTGTTTCAGATTTTAAATGGTTATTTTGTTAACACTTATTAATAAATTTCTGTTTAGAGGTGGTTATAAAGGTAAATTTCTTTTGGGCCTGCGGAGAGGAGAGGTGAGAAAAATAGTAAATAATTTTTAGTTAACTACAATAATAACAAAGAAATGTTAATGGATAATATTTAATGATAGAAGCAGGTGTGTTGTACTAGTAAAAGTAAAATGGACAGAAGCGTTAATCTGTGCGTTTGGGGTGGGGGGGAAGGGAGAGGGAATGTTAGATATCCTTTTAATCAACTTTTTTTTAGAATATGTTATAAAGATGTAAAGCTATGGCAGATTCATTGAGACTGGAAAAAAAAATGCCAGAAGGTGGCTGTGTCCTCAAAACTCTAATTAAGTGGAAATGGTGGTATAATGATAGCAAAATATATAAATTCTAAAATATACAATTTAAACTGAATGAAATATATGTGATTGTGGAAGAAACACATGAAATTTACCCATAACCAATGGATACGCTTTCTACAAGATGTAATGAAAGATGGTTTTTTTTGTGTGTGTTTTTCTTTAATAAAAACAATAAAAACTCTTTAAAAAAAAAAGATTGAATCAGCCTTTCATCTTTCTGAGGTCGGTAAATGAGGACCCAGATTTTTTGGGGGGGAGAGGGAAGGCTGACTCTGTAAACAGTTTAGAGAGGGCTGGAAAGCACAGTGAAGCAGTATAGAAGTCAAAGTGCTATTGCTATTGTCCTTCCTTTTCTCCTTCCTTCCACCCACCCATGGTGCACAATGGTTAGCATGCAGTATTGCAGGCTGCCTCTACTCACAGCCAGGAGTTCAATCCTGACCAGCTCAAAATGGACTCAGCCTTCCATCCTTCCGAGGTGGGTAAAATGAGGACCCAGATTGTTGGGGGCAAAAGGCTGACCCTGCTGACTGCTTAGAGAGGGGCTGTGAAGCACTATGAAGTGGTATATAAGTCTAATTGCTTTTGCTATTGCTATTTTTCTTCTTCCCAGATTAGCTTCCAGCTCTAGGATTCCTCAGTGGCCTCCCATCCCAGCACTAGCTAGCTCAGCCTAAGGTGGCTGCCATCCTGCCCACGGACAGGAATTTGCATTCAGAAGGGAACGAAGGTCACACGCACCCTTACAGAATGGTCTTTTGGGGTTTTAGCAAACGTTCTTCCTTCTTGCAAGAGCGTTCAAAGGGCAGTGCATGGGTGTGGAACTTGTGGGTGGTTCACAGGTGCCGAGAAATCAGAAAGCCAGACCCAAAGGCACCATCTGCCAATTCCTGGTGCAAAAAGTACAAGAAACAAGAATGATAAAAGAGATAAGCAGGGCCAGCCTCACTTTCCAGCCCGGGGGGGGGGGGGTGTTCATCGTGCTGCATTTGTGCCGCTTTCAAGAAAAGACTGGAAGATTATGTGCCCAGATTGGCATTAAGGGTTCCTGTAGTGGACTAGAACAGGGGTCTCCAATCTTGGCAACTTTACGATGTGTGGACTACAACTCCCAGAACTCCTCAGCCAGCATGCGCTGGGAGTTTAAGTCCACACATCGTAAAGTTGCCAAGGTTGAAGACCCCTGGTCCAGAAGACCTCAAAGGTCCCATCCAACCCTAGGATTCTTGGCTATTCGGTAGCCAGTTTCAATTACTTTTTCGTAATATCAAGACTCACGTTTCATGTACGAACACAAGGAAGCTCAAACGTTTTGTTGCTAAGCGAGATCATTATTCTTCTCCCATTTTCTGACCTTCCTTGCTACTGCTGTGAAGTGAATCACTGGAGTGGTTATGTTAGTTAACACCGTTGTTAAGTAAATCTGGTTTCTCGTTGACTTTGCTTGTTCCCCAAAGGGGATCCCATCACTTTGGGACACTGCAACCGTCATGAATACGAATCAGTTGCCAGGCATCTGAATTTTGATCACGATGCAATGGTCGTAAGTGTAAATAAGAGCCGCCAGTCCCTTTTTTCCACCATTGCTGTTGCAACTTTGAACAATCACTAAATGAAGTGTTGTAAGTCAAAGATTACCTCATCTTGTTTAGATGGAGAAACAAGTGGGGAGAACCACTCTGGGACTTTTGCCTCGGGCAACTTTTCATCCCAGGGAAAGGAAGGATTCAGGCAGCATCCTCCAGAGGAGCAGCCAGGGGTGGGATTCAGCTAGTTTGGACTGGTTTGGGGAAACCAGATGCTAATTTTGCATCCAGTTCACCAAAACCGATTGTTGCAAGGAATGGCTGGCCCCGCCCACCCCACCCTGCCCCTCCCAGGAGTCTCCACGCAGCCCATTCATCATGCCAGGTAAGTGCAGGGCCTGTGCAGAGGCTCTGAGCGGGTGACAAATGGGCCTGGCGGAAGTTCCAGAAGTCCGGAAATGGGCCCATTTTCGCCAGTGGTGGGTTATGACCAGTATGCCCCAATAGGGACGTACCGGTGCCTGCCAGGAGCACCGGGTACCGTTCCAGCACGGTGCTCCAGAGGGCCCACCCGCCTACCCTATTCCTTACTGGTATTTGAGGTCTTTGGTGCTTACGTGCATGGAGCATACGGCACCTGCGCAACCTCCGCCGAGCAGCTGGAGTGTCGTGGAGCATTGCAGGCGGTAAGTATGGATGTGTGCGCATGCGCGTGTGTGCATGCGTGCTGCATGCGTTCATGTGGCGGATGCTGGGCCCTGTTGCACCGTACCGGTTGCAATGGGATCCAGAACCCACCACTAGTTTTCACCCACCCGGAGGCTCAAAAAAAGCCTCCAGATCTTGGGGAGGCCACGCCCCCATGTAACTGGGCAGAGAACCGGTTGCTAAAAGTTTTCAATCCCACCCCTGGAGGAGCCCCCTCCCTGCAGACCCTTCCACATTGGCCCCTTTGCCTAGAAAAGAACCTCTTGCCTTCAGAAGTTGTGGAGGCTTCATCCCTGGAGGCTTTCAAGAAGAGATTGGACTGCCATTTGTCAGAAATGGTGTAGGGTTTCCTGTTTGGACGGGGGGGTTGGACTAGATGACCTACAAGGTCCCTTCCAACTCTTTTAATGTAATCTAATCTTGGACTGCCTCCCACCTCCTCATAATCATTCTCAGGCATCAAGAAGTCGTCCACCAGGGTGATGCGATGGCCCAGCTGCTCGCTTAATGCATCTAGGAAGCGGTCCGTATCCCGGCTGTGTGGCGGCCGCGAGAAGGTGAAGAGCTTCCTCCGGCGAGACAGGGGGCTCAGCTTAGGCGACAAGGCTGGGCTGCTGTCCAGGCTGACGTAGGGGTTCGAATCTGTGCTGCAGGGAGAAGGGAGGCCACCAAGCGAGCGATAATAGCAAGGCTGCAAGCCGGGATCATTCTGCCAGGAAATAGTCAATCCTGATTTTCGGGTACCTGCAGAAAATACAGAAAGTGACAATCTGCCATCTGCAAGCACAACATGCCAACTTTTGCCCCAGGCATTTTGGCCTTTACCAACCACGATTCTCATGCAGTCAGAAAGATTCTGGTTGCACCTTTTCAGAAGAACACAATTCATTAAAATTTAATGCAGGGTTGTCGGTTGGAAAAAAGTGCTACCAGATTCCTTCTGATTTTTTTAACCACTATAAACTGACACAAATCTTTGCTGACGTCACTAGACCCCACTGAGGCACCTTAAGGAAAATAAACATTCTTCCACACTGAACACAAAAATGAATGTCATGTCCTTGAAACAAAAGACCAAGGGCTGAGAATGAGGCATATTTATCCTTCACTTAAACAGAGGAAAAGAAGAAATATCAGGATATTAACTGCTACTGAATTGACATTAGCCAGTTCGGAGACTCTAATCCAGGGTCCCCAAAATTGTCAACTTTAAGACTTGTGGACTTCAACTCCTAGAATTCGCCAGCTGGCTGGAGAATTCTAGGAGTTGAAATCCACAAGTCTTAAAGTTGACAAGTTTGGGGACTCCTGCTCTAACCCAACAGATAGCGAGGTACCTGATGCTTTTCTGGGGAAATGGGGGTGGGGAGAGAGAAAACCCCTTTGAATCAATTTCTAAATGACCACCTTTGTTTTCAAATCCTATTTGATATTCAGTTGGAGAAGGGTATAACAGAAGTGAACAACCGAAAAATTGCTTTAAACTTAAACCTCTTTAAACTTAAAACTGCAAACAACCGCTTTAAACTCAAGGTTAATTGTTCCAAAGTTGACTGTAAAAAATACAACTTCTGTAATTGTCAAAGTCTGGAATGTCCTACCTGATTCAGTTGTCTCAGCTACAAATTTTCACAGTTCCAGTCACAATTTGACTTCCATGGATCTTACTTCATACTTAAGGAGTCAGTAGAGGGAGCGTGCATAAGTGCACCAATGTGCCTATCGTCCCTGTCATTGTATTTTTATTCTCTTATTCTTTTTAAAAAAATATATTTTTATTCTTTTTTAAACAGAACAACATACAAAACATACAAAACAAAGCAAGAGCAGAACAAAAAACAATTTTCCTCCATTTCATCAAGCATGTCGCTTGGTTACAGGTTTTTGTGCACAAATTCTTAAGCTCTCCTATTCTTGTTCTCATTTTTGTTTAACAAATTCCAAATAAATAAATGTCATTTCTTTCTTATTTGGACTTGACAGCATTACAAAGTCAACTCGGTTGCAAGTTGCCTCACTTCTTATCTTGGACCTCAAGCAACTAGGGATAAAAGCTCCTGTTTGCCCCAACAAATTCCAAGTCAAATTCTATCCCAAATAAATCCCCAAAAGTTGTCTCCTGTTACCCCCACAAGACCAGAGGAGTGTTCTGACCGAGGCTTCCCCAGCAGCAAGAAGCTCAGTCCTCATCCCGATAAACCCTTTTTATTTAATTTACAGTGAATTTCTCTCCAGCAAAGTCTTTCCTCCACCACAGTCTTTCAAGATAGTTCACAATTACCGACCTTTATCAGGCATGGAGAGTGGCCAGGCTGATATCTTTCAGACACCGCAATACTTGGCAAGAATGCAGGAATGAACTAATTGTCTCCTGCAAACTCCATTCCCCCTTCGCTCCTCTTTTATTCCCTATGGGAGGGGCCATTCACCGTTCATCTGTGATCTCACTCCCAAGTCGACCCTTATTCCTTAGCTGTTCCCTTTATCTGGCAACTCTGCACATGCGCACACTGGCAACAGGCTCCAGCTGTACCTCTGCCTCACTGATGTCTGACTCCGAAGGCAGCTAATAACTGTCAGACCCCCTCTCTGCCTTCCCCAGACTCCAGGACTGGCCCATCTTCCTCCCCAATCTCCTCGCTGTCCATGCCAGCTCCACTGCCCGCTGGCGGGCCACAACAAGGAATTACCTGCAGGCTCTGAAGCCAGGGATGCTGTCCGGCACACAGGCAGGCGGCCCAGCTTCCCTCCTAAACCAGCAGTCAGGCGGCTTTCCAGCTCGGCATACACTGCCGACATCTGTGAGCGGAAGGAAGGGAGCCATGTGTTGGACTCAGTTCTCTGCTGACCCTTCTCCCCCACCCTCACCACTACCAAAGCCCACTTCTTGGGCTGGACCCCCCAAGAGCATGGCTCTCACCATTTGAGGGTTGGGGGTCTCTGGAAGAGATGTTCCATCACCTGCTTGGCGTTCTCCAGGAGCTAAACGGCTGGGCATCTCAGCAGCTTCAGCAGAACCTGTGGAAAATATGGAGAGATTTTTGCAGGGATGGGGCACCAGGTCCCCAGAGCTCCATCTGGAGCAGGGGTCTCCATCTTTGACAGCTTTAAGCCGGGTGGACTTCAACTCCCAGAATTCCCCAGCCAATTCCGTTAGGCTTCAAGATTGATGGTTTGCACTTCCGGTTTGGTGTCACAGCAGGATAGTTGATGGATAGAGGGGCTCTGCAAATCCTGGCTGATTCTTCATCATTGGGGGCCCTAAGAGGCTAACGTCACCCTGGAGGGGTGATGAAGAAAGGAGGGATCCCTTGCTGATTGTGGGAGAGTGGCAGCTCTACCGCTCAATCCGAGGCACCCGACCGACTGACAGAGAAGAGAGTCGGCCATTATGGTTGAACCGAAGCTGGGACAACCGAAGAAAGAAATGAGTTGGAGTGGTTCGTGAACAGTTGTGGAACTGGGTGAAGTGATTTTCAACTTCTATACTAAAGGCCTAACCCCAAATGGAATAATTTTTGAAAGGAGATTGATAGTTTGCCATAACTACAGGTAACAACAACTAACAAGTCGACTAACAATAGTTCGCTTAGTGACTGTTCAAAATGACAAGGGCATTGAAAAAGGTGATTTATGACTGTTTTTCACAGTTACGATCTTTGCAGCATCTCCAGGATCAGGTAATCAAAATTCAGACACTTGGCAACTGGTTCATATTTATGACCGTTGCTGTGCCCCAAGGTCATATGATCGCCTTTTGCGACCTTCTCACAAGCAAAATCAATGGAGAAGTCAGATTCACTGAACAACCGGGTTACTAACTTATCAACTGTAGTGATTCACTTAAACAACTGTGGCAAGAAAGGTTGTAAAATGGGGCAAAACTCGCTTAACAAATGTGAGGTTTTTATTGGCAATATTTGGATTTGTAATTGAGTTTGCTATTGGGGGTGGGCAGGTAACACTTGACAAAGGATATTTGGGTGTAGCTGATATTGTTGAGGGCTTTGATGGCTCTAGGACTCCATTTCCAGCTTTAGTAAATAATGAAGAAAAGTAATGCATGTAGTCCTTGACTTATGACCATAACTGACCCCAAAATTTACATCACTAAGTGAGACTTAAGTGAGTTTTGCTCCGTTTTACAACCTTTCTTGCTGTAGTTGTTAAGTGAATCACTGCAATTGTTAAATTAATAACATGGTTGTTAAGTGAATCGGGCTTCCCCATTGACTTTGCTGGTCAGAAGGTCGCAAAAGGGGGTCACGTGACCCCAAGACACTGCAATGATCATAAATATGAATCGGTTGCCAGGTATCCAAATTTTGATCACATGATCATGCTGATCAAATGGTAATAAGTGTGGAAAATGGTCACGTCACTTTTTTCAGTAGCATCGTAGCTTTGAATGGTCACTAAATGAACTGTTATAAGTTGAGGACTACCTGTAATAAGCAGTCAGGGGGAGGAGCAGAGCCAAGGCCCATTCTGGGTGGGGACAAAACCATGATCCAGAGGAGGAAGCAAAGGGACCAGTATGGCCATGATAGGATACTTTGCAATTGGTCATTTGGCTCAGAGACTCGGTCCGAAGCCAGGGTCTTCTTGGCATGAGCCGCAGCTAGAGAGAGCCAAGGCCAGACACGAACCAACGAATCGGAATCCGGAATTGGAACAAATCTCTGTGATTTTTCTTTCCCAACCCTCTACTCATTGAGGCCAATCCGGAGCCCCTCCTGAGTAATCTATTGATTGCTCGGATTAAGGAAGAGGAGGAAAAGGGGGAACCAGTGCGTGAGAAAGTCCAGGTGGCCCAGTGAAAGTACCAGATGTTCTCCACAAAGACGAGCAGCACGCAGCTGTTAAGCCACTCGACATATTGTGTTGTACAATCCGTGCAATCACAAAATTTGTAGAGGAGGGGGACACAGCTCTTCAGTCATTGCAAGGCACATGAGTAAACAGACTGTTGTTGTGGTGGCATTGCATTTGATCGACATTCCCCAAAACGTCTATCTATAGCAGGGGTGTTAAACTCAAGGCCCAAGGCTGGATCCCGCACGGGGGGCTTAGATCTGACCCATGGGGCCAGCCTAAAAATAGCAAAGGACCAGTCTACGGTGCCTCTGCCAATGAAAATGGAGCTCTGTTTTTGCTGGCAGAGGCCTAGCAAAAGAAACTAAAAACAAAACAAACAGAAATATTTCCCCTTTTGCATTTGAACATGCAAGAAGGGACAGGAAAGGAAAAAGGGGAAGAAGGAAGACAAAGAAAAAGAAGGAAAGATGGGAAGAAAGCAAGGAAGGAAAAATAAGGAAAGAAGAGAAGGAAGAAGAAATTAGAATAAAGAGGGAAGGAAAAGGAAGGAAGGAAGGAAGGAAGGAAGGAAGGAAGGAAGGAAGGAAGGAAGGAAGGAAGGAAGATTATAATGAGAGTGAGGGTCTGAGGGGGGTCCTGCCTTAGCACTTGGCCATCACAGGTGCCACCTGACACAAATGACGTTGAGCTGGCCATACCCACCATGCCCTCCCGTGCCCCCTCCATGCCACCCTGGCCCTCCGCGGTAAAATACAACCTTGATGCAGCATCAATGCAATTGAGTTTGACACCCCTGATCTATAGAGAGGGAATATGGTCCCTCTCCCCTACCTCTGGAAATGAAAGCCGGAAACAGAGGTGAGAGGGAGTTGCTGGACAAAGGAGGGGAAAGAAGCCAAAGGACACCACTGCCCCAGCCCCACAACCTACCCCGGGCTTCACTGTCCTTGGGGCTATGGCTACGCAGACTCTTCCGACTCCCTGGGCCAGTCCGTAGGGAACTCGGTGGCTGTTCTTCTACTTCGGGTTCAGCTACAGCTGGGAAGAATAAGCCAGGACCTTTTAGACACCCATCAGATTTACAGATTAACAGAGTTGGAAGGTACCTGGTAGGTCATCTAGTCCAACCCACCACTCAAGCAGGAGACCCTACACCATTCCTGAGAGATGGCAGTCCAGTCTCTTCTTGAAAGCTTCCAGGGATGAAGTTCTACAACCACTGAAGCAACTTCTGTTCCATTGGTTGATTGTTCTCTCTGTCAGAAAAGTTCTCGTTATTTCTCCCCTTGTTCAGTTTCCATCAATTATTCCTTGTTTGGCCTTTGGGTGTCTTGGAAAATAGCTTGAGCCCCTCCTCTCTGTGGCAGCCCCTCAACTGTTGGAAGGCTGCTCTCATGTCTCCACTCGTCCTTCTCTTCCCTAGACTAGCCATGCCTGGTTCCTGCAACCGTTCTTCACATGTTTTAGCCTCCAGTCCCCTCACCATCCTGGTTGTTTTTCTCTGGACTCTTTCTAGAGTCTCAACATCTTTTTTATAGTGTGGTGACCAAAACTGGATGCA